CTCAGGGGGGGGCTGGTGGGGGAGGAGCCAGCCAGGGCAGGGGTTGGGGGTCTTGGGGATGCTGGTGGGGGACGAGCTGACTAGGGCAGGGGAGGTGATCTCCGGGGGAGAGGGGCCTGGCGGTGGGGGTTCTCTGTCAGCCAGAGTGTCTCTGTGGAGGGCCCAGCCTCCGCTTGCCTCAGGGGTCCGGGACCATGCCCTGCTTCACTTTTTTAAACTTCAATTTTTTTTTTTTTTTTTTTTAGACTCCTAGATATCCAGGGGTCTAATTATCTCCCCGCGTTGCAAGTTTGCAGGCACAGAGAACCTTTTTTCGTTCCCGCACGTGCCTTTTGCTCTGCTTCAAAGGGGTTTGAGATGGTGCAAGAGGCACGTGCGCGCTCGTCTGGATGTGCCCTATGGGGGGCCTCATTCATTTTTTTCTGAATGCTTGGGCTGTTCTCAATACTGTGTTTTATCGGTATATAAGGAAAACGTATGTGATGGTATGATACCATCATCCCAAAATCCCAGTGGTGCTTACCAAACTGATCTTGGCAGTTGCCTTGATCATGAGTGGCTGAGCCAAGTCCTCTAGCCAGGTATGAGAGGGATTAACCAAGAGAACAAAGATATTGCTAAAATGAAAAAGAGCTTTCAGTATGTGCGTATATAAAATATAATAGCTAGTGAAATGTACTCTTAGCATTATTGTATAAAAATGGGAAAATAACATTTTAAGTACTGAATAGTATTAGGAAATACCAGGACTGTTTTCAAGAAAAGTCACAAAGTTTTAAATCATACTGAAGTTTAATGTTGGTAGAATAAAATGTATTTAAAGAAATGAACTTTTAAAATTCCTTTTGGAGTTTTATATTTGAATTGAATACCTCTTAGTTTTAGCAATACATCTAAAAAAGATTAGGTGAAATTACTGCAACCTTTGGTAAGGTTTAAACTTGCTATTTTCTATTAAAATAGTTGACTTCTACTAAGTGCTGTTCTTAATAAAAAATAAAGATTAAAAATAATTATCTGGTAAATATTAAATATGTCATGTACTACTTTCCAACAAAACAGAATGTATAAGTTTTTTGTGTACATTTTCATTAATAGAGAAGTCTAGAATGTGAATGTTTGGTACATAACTGCCTACAAGTGTGTGTATAGGTAAAATATAGCCATGTGACCAGCAAAAGCAAACTTTAACCTAAGTGTAAAGCTATTTTTAGTTCCAAATCGACATGTTTCTTTAGAAAAATCTAAAGTGCAAATGCAAAGCCAAATTAAAATGAATGAATGAAATCAAAGTTTCCCACTAGCCAATTTAAATAGTTTTAAAAATCGGTAATATAAATCCCTTGGAACTGAACAAGGCCCCCTCCGACCCCCCCTACTGCTCAAAAAGGCAAAAACATTAAATACAATAATATAAATGTAAACATGTTCAAAGAGTCAGCTGGAATGATTAATGTTAATGCTCTACAAATTGAAAAACGTTTAATTGACAAATTCTTAATTCTCCTGACTATGAATTGGTATAGCTTACAAAGTATCCGTCTGGCCCTGAACTTCTTTCTGCATTTTCTCCCGCATGGTCATTCCCTTATTCCCTGAAAATGATACCATTTGAATTATTTCCAATAATGATTCTGGGTCTGTACTCTGTTGCCTTTAAACGCTTCTCAGGGTGTGAATAGACAATACTATGACACACTCTAACAGATGATGAGTGTGACAGCCTGCTGTCCAGCTGAGTCTGTGGAATCTGCCTTTTGTTTGACTGATCCTATCCTGCAGGAAGCAGAAGTTAAACCAAGGCAGCTTCCCTGTGAATACGAGAACAGTAAATTACTGTGATTTTTGTTTGACTTGCTGTGGGATAGCAGCAGATAAATGAATAAAATAGTGGTTCATCCAGTCATGTTCATGAGCATTAAGTCCTACTCCAACCTTCCAGCCGCATAACAACCCATGTCCTCAGGGTTCAGATTTGCTTTAAATGTTTTCTCAATTTCACCAATATTTAGATCAAAATCCATTTGTATTTTCATTTTTCAGGACATAATCCTTTAATTGTCATGTTCCTTCATTTCCTTCTGTCTTCCCCTTGCATTATAATTTTCATACTCCTTATCTGTCCCAAATAGCTCATCCCACCATGTGAATATTGCAGCATAGTTCCCGTGAAAGTTCATGTGGTGGAAGTCATGAAAACGGCTAGTAGCAGCAAAAGGCACCAGTCGTAAGGGATCCCAGGGAACATCGTATCCGCTGCAGTGAGAAGAAGAAAATATGATGTATGGTAAGTAAGACTGCACAAATACTCTCTCAAATATTGGGCCCAGTGAAAATCAGAAATACAAAAATTAAATACAAAATGAAACAAATAATTTTCCCAATCTCTACATTTTGCCAGGTTCATTCACAAAAGTAAAGGAACAAAAGTGGAACAGTAGCTCCAAGCTAAACGTTTCAGGAGCTCTTGATGTAGTTCTGCTAATGGACATCCACACAACTTGTGCAAGCATGCTACTAAAGACATTTCTCATTTAACAGTTCTAGTTACTGCGTTCTCATTTACCTGTGCACATGCGTATTTTGCACTATCCGTGCCACTACCCAAAGCCACAACGAGAATAAATGATGGCAAAAAATGAACGTGCCAAAGGAGAAACCTGCTCCAAAGATCAAAATCTCTGCTTGGCCAGCATATGTTGCCTGAATGGAAAATGGCGCCTGGAAAAAAGAAAACCATTTATCTTGTTAGTGCATATGAAGAGCATTGTGATCCCGCCTATCAATAGGAAGCAGTTTCCCCCATCCCATATTCTGATTTTTACCAAGAACTAAAACTTTAGCACGTTCTCACTTCCACAATGGTAACTTTTTCTCTAGCCTGGATTTCTTCCTCCCCTTCCCTTTTCAGAACAAAACTAGAGCTCATCCTTCCTTCCCCCAAAATGGAATTTTTTTAAAAAGCACCAGAGGTGGAAGAGAGCTATTCCAATATTACAGCTGAACTCGCTTTGTTTAAACTGTTATAAAGCTGTGTATAACTTTACTAAGGCGAAACTGAAGAGCTAAGGTATGCAAAGTTTCTGCAGCTCAGCTTCCTCTGACATCCTGTTCAGCTTAGGTCTTTACAGCATAAAAGCTGGCAACTCAATGTTATCACATAATCAACACTGCTATATTAAGGTATTGCATTCTTAAGGGAAGATTTATATCTTTGTCCATTTAAAAGCCAGTTGTAATTTTAAGTACAAACTCCTAGTATACTGTCTAAACCATATTGCAACTTGTGTTTCCCTACCTGGAAGTCATGATGAACTTTATGGAGGTATGGATATAGTGTTTTGTGATGCATTAGCCTATGCATGAAATACTCCCAAGCATCTTGAATCAGGAAACACCCAAAGATTTGAAGAATTGCAGAATACCTAGTAGGAGTTGGAGAGAGTAAAGTGTGAACAAATGTATTTGTATAATACCCAACAACAATCAAATATGATGCCCTGGCTGTAGATATGAAATTGCCACCAGAAGAAAACTGAAAAAGTATCTTTGCTTAAACCAACATCTCTGTAATACCATAAGCATCCCAAGTTTATGACTTTTTAATGTTTACAACCCAATTAACATACTCAAAATGGAGCTATACCCCTGATAAGCCATTTGTTATTTGAAGGCTTCTGTAGTTTAACTTTTGAGAAGTGTTCTCTTTGACATTGGCCACCTTGTAGGTGTTGTTACTACCAGGGGTATTGCTGCTTTAAATTAAAAGGGCACTTACTTCAGTGTGGCAATTAAACTTATTTTGAGTTCCTGAGGCTTTGCTAGAGACTAGACATTACTGTTCTGAGTACTTCCTTTCAGACTTTAAGAGTCTTTCCCAGGTGCCTCACACTTGTTGTTTTACATCTCAGACACCATATCTGGACAGCTGGTTCCTAATGTGCATCTTGCAATATCACCTTCCCTCCATGATCCAACCTTTTCCAGTTTTGTGGAGAAAATCCTGCTTCAGCCTTCACAAAGGATGATTTGCTGCACCAGTCTGGTCTTCATTAAGGCCAGAGTCTGTTGTTTGACTCATATTTCAGAATCTTAGTTTTCATAATTTGAAATTGCTTGCCAGTTCCCAAAGGATGACTGGTACTCACTACACAGTTTTTATACTAAGAAGGTTGAGTGTGATGGCATCATCAGAGTCATGCCGCTTAACCATCTAAATATGAGAGTCTTGCAGCATGGAGTGGGAGCAAGACAAGTGCCATCAAGACAAAGCCTCCTTGCAGATCAACTACCATTGACATCACTCTGTTGCTTCAGGATTAGGACAGCATATCTAGCCAGCCAATCTGTATGGTAATCATGCGAAGGCTAGATACGTAGCCTGTGTTTAAGGCTTCACAATACAAGGAGTGCCCCACACCAGAGGCGTGAGTGCACAGAGGAGACTTCTGAAGAAGAACATTTCTAGTAAGTAACCTCTTTTTGTTTCACTTTTGAGTGGTGAAATGATCAAAGTACAGCCTCCTTTCATAGAAGAAAAGTTAATACAATATTCAGAAACTATAAAGCAGCATGTTATAATCTGCATTAGTTTTACTCCCACATAATATAATTAGCTACTATTTTAGTTTTATGAATCACAGAGCATTGCCATTAGTGATGAATGAGAGAAATAGCAGATTGTGTAAATTAATCTATAGCTGTCATAAGGAAATGTATTTTGTGATATATCATCCTTGCTTTTGATTGTGCTTTTTCATTTACACATTTTTGCTTTTGATTGTGCTTTTTTTTGATTTGTTGGATTCATTGGTAGTTCAGATTATGAGGTTTTGCTGCACAACATGCCAAAGCCCAATGAGAAAGGCTAAAAGGAAGAAGCAATACACAGCTGCCCTGCTGCAAATTCAATAGAAACTCAAGATGACCAGAATCATGCTAGACATAAAAGACACAAAACCTATGTAACTCATGCTCTAAAGCATAAAAAATATGGGAAGCAGCATGAGTGTCCTTTTGAATCACAAGCAAAGTACATATGTAGCAATATAGCCTGTGAGTGTAAGCATTGTCATCCGGCCTAAAAATTCCACGTGCAATGCAAAAAACCTCAGAATTCACTTTCAACTCTTAAACGTCCCCTAAGAATATGTGAAGAGTCAGCCCCGTGATTGATTTCAGTTCCGTGCCTGGAACAAAAAGCAGGCCGGAGAGGATTTAGGACAGTATTGGAAAACAAGAGCTGCAGAACATGGAAGTCAGTGGGACTTTTTAACATGACTAAAGACAGTAGAACTTAGTCTTGTCATTGCATTTGATATTTTTAGAAAGATATAATACCATCGAGGCATGGAGTTCCAGTCGCATGGTAAATTGGCATACTCCACGTAAAAGTACACAGCTAAGGACAGTGGTATATGGAGAGTGAATATATGATAAAATGTCATCTTGAAACATTTCCACTGATCTTCCCAAGTTTCTGGCTTGTCCTAAAAAAAGATAATAATGAAAAAATGAATGAGTCATAAATGGCATTTTTCTTAACTCCTGATGCTATTCAGTAGGGTTGTGCATGCCTGAGGGGTGGGGTAGTTGAAAATTGGGCTTCAGCTTCTTTTTGGGCATCAGTTTTTGACTTGGTGTTTCTTGTGGTTTCTTCTTCAAGCCCAACTACCTGCATAGGTCCTAATGGTCCCTGGGAGAGGAAAGTGCTCTCCTGCACAGTTCTAGGCTGCAGTCACTGATGGGAGGGTGAGGTGACTTGATTCCCATTTTAGCTCCTTCCCCTGAATTGCTTCTGTCTGCAGATGCTCTGCTGACTACAATATGGACATTAGGATTATTTATTAATTAAAAGAAGGAAACTACTGGATAATATTTTCTTTAGGAAGTTTCAACAGTGACACAAAGATAGCTAAGAACCAAGACAATCCTCCTGATTTGGGAGCTGGTAGAGCATTAAGCTCTCTAGGCAGGCCTCAAGTTAATGACTGTAGATAATTATCTAAGGGAAACACACATCTTGTGTGTATGTTTAATAATCCATTTTCAGAAACCTGGGCTTTAAAATCTCATATTACTAGGATAAATGAGTAATACAAAACCTGCTTGCTACTACTTTATTTCCATGTAATTAACAGAGGCCCACCATCCACTAAACAGCTGAAATAAAATGAAAAATTGCTTTCCAGAGTTAAAGATTTCACCTTGCTTCAGGGGTGGATCCAGGGTCGGGTAGCCTGGACTCCCCCTCTGCCCCCTTTGACTTCTGGTCTGCCCAAAGTTTAAAACCAAGTGCCTAACAATGGCAGCAGCATTTCTTATTTAGGCAGCAGTGAGGGAGTTGCTTGACTTCATGCATCATTGTAATTTCCTTTATTCTTTCTGGACTTCTCATCCCACAGGGGTTAACAACCCACTCCCCTTTTTGATGCTCCACTAATAAAGCTATTCTTTCTTCTGCACTTCTGCTAATAGATGCCCCTCTTTAATGTAGCTCCTATTTTGCAGCCCTGCACACACTTTTTAACACAAGCTAAAAACATCAACTAAGGTGTGGAAACATTAATTCAGGTGAGCATCAGGTCAGGTGTGGAAATAACTTTCAGTAAAGTAATGGATGCACAGTCAAGATGCTCAAGAAGGCTATGTTTTGTTTTATGAATCTGAAAAATTTAATTCTAATGATAGAAGGAATGAAGAAACACCATCTTATGATTAAGTTTTGTCTACTTTGTTGCATTTTTTTATATATAATATATGCTATAGGAAATTAGTGCACATTCCAAAAACATTATATTTGCTTTAAGATCAAAGCAAAAACAAATAATATGGCCCTAGGCTCCACGCAGACTAATAAAGCTTCTAGTTTCTTTTTATCTGGGACAAAATGTGTGTTGTTTTATACGAGATGATACACCACACCATCTACACCCCCACTTTCAAAATGCTAAATCTGCCCATGCCCTGCCCCCTAAAGACCGCCAAACCTTGCCATAACTTTTTGGTTGATTCTGAGATGGGCCAGGCCTGTCTGTCACCAAGGCAGTACGAAACTTGTAAAAAAAAAATATAGAATCTGTTTACTTTCTTTGCACCTTTCAGGGGAGATGATTGACCCATCAAAGCTTCTGAGTCTAATTCAGATTTTGGGAAAAAGTTGTGGGTTATATAAGCCCATTAGGTTGGGCAAAGATTTTCCATTTGGTTATTCACAGAGCTGGTCAAGATTCAGAACTGCTGCTCTACATGGTAATGGAAATGAGAAATTTCAAAGTGTCCTCCAGAAGGGAAATTCCAGGATCTTCAATTCATAAAAATCAAATAATTTCAGTTCGCTTTTTCCCAAGTAAAAGGAAGCAGACTTGATGTGGGCTCCCTGGGCGCTTGTCCATGTTACACCTCTCCTGTTACCACATTACACTTTTCCTGTGTCCACGTGCATTTGGAGCTGTAAAGAGCTTGTTGAATTTTCAGGTCAGGAGAGCTCCCAACTAGGTAGTGAGGAGTCTAGAAATCCTGAGAGCCTTGGCTTAAGCCAGAACTCCTGGCTGGACAGGAAGGAGCTGGGAAGTCCTGCTAAGCCCATCTTGTGCTTTGGTTTCCAGCATTTTCCAGGCTCCCTGAAGCAGAGCTGGAGCCCTAAACCAGAAAACACTGGCTTGAGCTCCCTGTGCTGAAGACTTCCAGGTTCCTGGCTCTGTAGCAGGGAACCCAAAGGGCTCAGTATTCAGTCAACAGGTGCCTGGGATTACAGGCATGGTTCTTTGAGTAGATGTGATTTCTTTTATTAGGCCAACTGAGTAGTTGGAAAAAAGGTTCTTAGCAGGCTTTTGGGTGCAGTCACCCTTCTTCAGACTTAGGGAGTCTCTGCTGTTCTGAGACTCCAAGAAATGAGAGAAGCTAAAAGTGTGGCAGGATGTCAGTGAGAATGTGAATAGGTAGAAATAAGAAAGACAAAAGGTAAAGCAGAGACAGGAGGGAGAAGAGAGCTGGGAAAAAAAAGGCTAAAGGGAGACATTACAGTGATAGAATACAAGGTAGAAAGAGGCCATTGGTGAAAAAAAATAGTTGGAGATCAGGAAAACAGGAGCAAGAGAAGCTCAAAGTGTGAGAGGATGTCTTGAAGATATAAATAGGTAGAAAGGAGAAACAAAAGGTAAAGCAGGGGTGGGAGGGGGAAGAGAGCAGGGGAAAAAAGGCCAAAGGGAAACATTACAGAGGTAATAATGAGGGTAAGAAAGAGGCTGTCAATAAAGAAGGAAATAGGAAATCAGGGAGACAAAGGGAAGAAAAGTGGGAGAGGGGAGGGGAGAAAAGGGGGGAAAAGAAGGATGTAAGAGGTCAGGTCAGGCAGGTTGTAATGTGTCATAAAACCAATGTCTATATTGAGTCCATCGATTTTTTTTTTTTTTTGGATCCAGTAGATTTATGAAGCGAAGTTCATAGGCTTATCTATGGAAGGTGTTTTGTAAATTCCCTTTGAGGATTAGAGCTGAGAGATCAGAGAGGGAGTGATTGTCCTGTGAGAAATGTGCCCCCACAGGTACTTGGGTATTCTCGGCTTTGATAGATTTCCGGTGTGCGTTCATTCTGGTGCACAGTTGTTGTTTGGTTTCTCCTACATATTTTCCATCAGGGCATTTAGTACACTGGATGAGATGTATAACATTTCTGGAGGTGCAGCTGTAAGATCCAGGAATGGTGATAGCTCTGTTGTGGGGTGTAGTAATTGTGGGGGTTGTGGGGATGTGTTGGCAGGTTTTGAATTTCTTGTCCTGGCATGTTCTGGATCCCTTCGTGGATTAAAGGGCATTCATTTTGTTTAAGAGACATCATGTTTTGCTGTTTCCCAAATGGAATATGGCAGAATTATAGGTTTATTAAAGCATTTGAGTACTTTTTTGCTTTTTGTCCTCAGTTGGTGAAACAAATTCTGAAAACACACGTTTTGGAAGACCTGAAATTTGTTGTTCCATCTAACTCGAGCCTGTAATTCTGGGTGTTTGTTGAGGTTGTCAGCTAGGATGTTGTTCATCTTTCTACCTGCACTTCCTGACTACGCTGCTGCAGGATTAACTCGGGATATGTGTACGCTAATAGAATCATAGAATTCTAATATTATAAAAGACTTTGTCTGTCTGTCCTTCTGTCCATAACTCTTTATTTGCACTCTGATTGGCTGACTGAAGCAACCAGTTAGCGTGCGAATACAGCATTGGGACAGGAGGTGGTGCGGCTGAGCGCTGCCATTATGGTGGGGACACAGGAGACGGAGGGGGGGTGCGAAGCCAGTCCAGCTGGCTTGGCCCCCCCAGCCCTGCTTCCTGCAGGCGGCGACAGTGCAGCGGAGGGGGAGGGTGGGGGGAGTGAGGCCACCAGAGCTGGCCTTGCCTCCCACTTGCTCCTTGGAGGAGGTGGCAGTGGTGGTGGTGGCACAGGGAGGGAGTGGGGTCGGGACGCTATGGGGAGGAGGGGAGCAAGGCCACCAGTGCTGACTTCAGCCCACCCTCTTGCTCTGTGGAGGTGGCGGCAGCGGCACAGGGAGGGAGGGGGTTGGGATGCTGTGGGGTGGGGCGAGGCCACCAGTGCTGGCCTCAGCCTGCCCCTCCCCCCTTCCATCATTGCTACCTGCAGGGCTGACATAGGCCAATTTGGCTGGCGGGGGGGGAGGGGCTGGGCAGGGCAGGGCTTGTGGGGGCTGGAGGAGTGGGCAGGGCTGGCGGGGGACCCCCCCCATGGTCCCCTCCCCTCTTCTCCAGGTCCCCCCTGACCTCTTACTTACTGGCAGTCGAGCCCTGGTGCTGCAGCACGCTGCCTGCCAGGCTGCGCATTTCAGCACCAGGGCAAGAGGCCAACCACGGAGGCGCTCTGGCACTCAGAGCATCTCTGTGGAGGACCCAGCCTCCAGTTGCCTCAGGGCATGGGACCGTGCCCTGCCCCACTTTTTTTAAACTTCATTTTTTTTAGACCTGTGGATATCCAGGGGTCTAATTTTCTCCCTGCACTGCAAGTTTGCATTTTTTCATTCCTGCACGTGCCTCTTGCCCCATCTCAAAGGGGTTTGAGACGGGGCAAGGGGCACATGCGCACTCGTTTGGACACGCCCAAAGAGTTTATGCACCATATTAGAGAAGGATCATTTTTATTCATTCCTTTATTTAGATTTTACTTAATAGTCAGATTTTAGCTCAAGACATGAGGCACCCCAGTACTACTTCAAGAGCATGATCAAATTACAGCAGCATTAAAGTAATCATTTAAGCAGGAACTCAGCTCTCATTGCGGTCTTTGGCACACGTCTCTTTTACAACTCTACACAGAAAAAACAGCTTACAAGATGGTTCTTGAAAGGACCTATCCCAAGCTGCATATTCCTGATTTGTAAATAGTTTTAGGGGAGAGGATCTATCAGATTTTCAGGTTGCAGTAAGAGTGCAATAATTAGTAATGTAAATTAGGTTTTCCATGTTTCTTCTCATTTTCGTTTGTGTTATGTTCCTGGTAACACACTGTCTCCCAAATTTCTTTGCTGGGTAGAACCCTGGATATAAGTGACCGACCAACTTAAGTGGGTATTTAAGTAAATCCTGAGTCTGCTATCACTGTTGGGTCGCCTTAGATGCTATGCATCACTGGTGATTCTTTGGGCAGAGTGAGCAGGTGGTGCCCATCTCTCCAGGTTTGGATGGCCGTTGGCTCACAGGGAGCTGATCCACCCTTGTTTTTAGTCCTGCTGGGTGCCCCCACACTCTCCTCATCCAGGCTAGCCCAGGTGAGGGAGCTAGTTCAGTCACCAACAAGCCGACCATGGAACAGGCTGTACTATTTTAGCTGGTACTAGATAGCACACCTGGAGAGGCCTGGCCTGGCAGGGGAGCGGGTCTTTAAGGTCATCCTAAAAATATTAACTCAGTTATGGACCTAGCGATCCTTAAGTTCTGTTCCCATTATCTGGGATGTTAGATGTGGTTCTATATGGGTTGCCCCCCAATTACTGAGAACAGACATTAGCCGCAGATCTAGTCCCATTTTGGAAGAGGAGAAAAATCTTTCTGCTGGATTATTGTGTTTAAAAAGCAAACATCAAGGTGCAGCAATACTAAGTGCTGATTTGCAAATAAATGTTTGTGATAGAGGGATTCATCTTCCACTATGACTTCCTGCATACCCCTTCCCCACTCTGCAATTCGGTCTTTCTCCTTCTGTAATTTGTACAATCCTGTTTGGTACCATTTCCTCTTCCCCTTTCTGAGTTGCACAATTTGTGCTCCTGCCCCCCACCCCCCTCCTTGTTTTGGTATTACCTGTTGGATTTTGTATTTCTTCATGGCTGGGATGAACTGGTAAATGAATCCAGGAAGCGAGGCTAAGTAGTAGGAAGACAAATACAGCAGCAGGGTACCCCATGTGACCACGTGGAACTTGGCAGAGCTCTCTAGCAAGCGAGTCCAGGCATCCCGGAAAGATTCCTGCAAGAGGTTGTGCTGCAACAGGGAGCCCAAAGTTTCCATGGCCAGGAAGGGAGGTGAAATGAAGAAGCTCTGGTTCCTGTCCACACTTCTAGAGACCATGCACTCACTCTTTCTTTATATATACATGTACAGTATGTGTATATGCATGTGTATCTGTGTACATACATGTATATGTCTCTGTATGTAACTGCTTTGCACATGAGTCATCAATAGCCCAAGCAATGAACTTCCTGATGCTTCTACTAAATTGTGGGTGTGGTTGTACAGTAAGGCCCACAATGACAGAAGGTTTTTATTTTTGCTCATCCCCTGTGTAGTCATAAGATATTTTAAATAGTCATAAGTCGTAAGACCTACCAAAATAGTCCAGAGCCCACATCAGTTGTGGCATGCCGAGCAAAATGTCTTCACGTGCCATGTCTGGCACTTGCCAGGTTTTCTGACTTCTAGTTTAGGGTTTAACTGAATGCTTAGATTGGGGGTGTCTTGAACCTGCCTAATTACCTGGACTAAATCTGGGGAAACCCTTAATCCACGCCTAATAATGTGTGGATTAACGGCTTCCCTGGGCTTAAGCCACAGTTGTGGGCCATCTGCCAATCTGTGGGGAGGGGTGGGACATCTGGGGCCGCTCAGTCATTCAGAGGTGTGGGGGTGCCCCTGCCATGATAAGCCCATGAGAAGGGCAGCTGGACCTGTTATTTGCCCACAAAATTGGCAACCTGCCTCCTTGAGTTGGGCAGATCCCTAGTCATAAGCTTATTTCGTCTTTTGCATTTTAGGCTTCTGGTACTTTAAAACAGACGCAGTAGTTTATTTATTTATTTTTTTTGCAGCAGCATTTAGAGCAGGGGAAATTGGCTTTATGTACTAAAAGGAAAAGATTAAGATGCAAACGATCTCTTTGCACATAACTCAGGTGTTGGATAGAACTTGAGCAAGGCAAGAAGTGCAGGGGCAAGAGATATACATATAATGCACATAGTTGTCCAGGATATATAAGAGCTACTCATTAGGCCTGTGCGAAGCAGCTAGTATTCGCTTTGGATTCGGATTTGGCCGATTCAGGGGACAGTGATTCGATTCGGTGATTTGAATCACTGTCCCAAATCGATTCGGCTGAATCAGTGGGGGTTGGGCCTCTGAATCACCCAGGCCCATCCCCCACCCACCCCAGCTCCCATCACTGAGGAAAAAAAAGCCCCGACTCACCGCATGCTGGGTGGGGGGGGGGAATCCCTGCTTCTCCCCACTGTCCCATGCTGCATGGAGGGCTCTGCATGAGCCCCACCCTGCTGTCCCAGGCCCCCCATGGCTGCCCTGCCTGCCCCACCTTTGGCCCTTTAAGGCATCCCCCCCCCCCAAAAAATAAAAAACCTGGACTCACCAGTTCCTTCCCGGTGGGTAGCAATCCCTGCTGCCCCCCGCCATATGGTGGGCTCTTCCACAAGTCCCCCGAAGCCTCAAGGCTGTTGCAGGATCTAGTGAATGTAGGGAGGTTTTTGTGGGTTTTTTTTTTTTTTCTTAAAGGGCCAGGACCTGGGGA